TAAAGAGCTACAAATGACAGGAAATTGTGGAGAGCCATGATCGCCAATGTCCTGAATGGACACGGCACATAGAAGAAGAAGAATGAGTTTGAGTAAATGGATGGCGGAACAAGGTTTAGGAGAGATAAGAAAAAGACAAAATTTATTAATTAACTACAAAGGACAGGAACTTTTGAACTTCTAAAACGTTAAGGTTCTTAATGGACACGCCACAGAAGAAGAATCTAATAATTTTCTTTTATTTTCATCGGAGAAAGTAGGTAAGAATTCAATGAAAGATATGTAAAGCTTTTGTTATCATTCAAATACGAAATATCGATGAACACTAACGTTGTTACTCGTCAAATCCACGGTGATCACACTTTTATATTACGAATTTACTTCCTAACATTTTGTTTAAATAATTATTAATTTAATTAAATTAACATATTTTTGAGCCTCCGTTGTAACCACTTTCGTCCGCCTCTCAATTCTGATTCATAGTGACAGAATAATGCAATGGCTTGCCGGTTGCTTTCGCACCGGGGATGAGGAGGTTACCCAGTTCCTGTTCTCAGAGGGAGAGTTGGTTTTGAAGTTACCTTCTTCCAGCCTTTGCCTAAAGAGACAGGATCTACAAAGCAGCAAAATTCAGTTTCCTTCTCCCAGACTGGTCGCCAACCAAGGCTATAGGACCCAGTCTGTGCTGCTATTTTACCCATAGATTTAGGTATTAGGTTTACTCTAGCAAATTTTCCTTCGGTTCAAAGGTCTTGTGGGTAAAATCGTTGGTTCATGAATTTGGTGACAAAAATCAATCCCTCGGTCGGGCAGTGTGTACTTGCGCTTAAAATAAAATAATATACACTCAGTTCTCTTTTTGCACGTATCCTTTTTTGGTGAGTTGGTGGGGGTTGTTAGTTTCACTTCATGTTTTCATTAAGATATATTTTTTTGAAGGTGAGTAGGAGCGTTTATTCTGAGCCTTCACTTGTTAAGTGCGACTGGAATTTGAGTGAGCGACTTTTTATTTTATTAAATATATTTTAAATATATATATATATATATATATATATATATATATATATATATATATATATTATAAATTAATTGATTTAAAATATGGTTATTTTCGCTACACAGTTTCAACCATGTTTCAAAAATAGAAGCTAAAAACCCTAATTTTATTTTTTGCAATTAAATTAAAAGCATTAGTTCCATTTCATCTTCAAGCGAATTTTGGAGTAATGAAATGGAACTAATGCTTTTAATTTAATTAAAAAATAAAATTAGGGTTTTAGCTACTATTTTTGAAACATGGTTGAACTGTGTTGAAAAATAACCATATTTTAAATCAATTAATTTATAATATTAATGCTCTGTAAATTTACATTGAGCACTATTTTGTAAAAATAAAATATCTATAAGAACACCGGATTTTTATACTGTTCTTTCTTTTTTTTATATATATATTATATATATATATATATATATATATATATATATATATATATAGATGAAAGAATATAGTTTTAAGGTGTGTTATATTTATGGGATAAAGTGCTCAATATCAGAGATAGAGCGTATGTAAATATATATATAAAAGTGAACATTGAAGTCAACATTCAGAGGCGACAGGCTGTTTCATGCTGGATGCGTCCAGTATGAAACAGTCTTCAATGTTCACTTTTATATATATATATATTCGCTTGAAGATGAAACAGGGCTTGTTACTTTAATTCAATTTAATTTTAATAATTATATTGATGGTTTTGGCTCTCGTTTTTGAAACATTATGTAACGAAGGAATCATATTTAAAAAAAAATAATTATATATATGGAATATTGCTGCCATATATGGTCTGGTGCCCTTCTGTTTGCCTCAGGGGTTCTTGATAGGCTCCAGAGGCGGATATGCAATGTAGTTGGCCCTGCTCTGGCGTCTCGGCTACAGTCACTTTCTCACAGACGCGCCGTCGCCTCCTCTGTCTGTTCTACAAATACTTTCATGGAAATTGCCCGAGGAGCTGCATTCGCTGGTTCCCAGACGTCATGAGTTCCAGCGCCATACGAGGCTGGCATCCCGCTCTCACCCCTTCACTGTCGAAACTCCTAAATGTAGCCGTCTCTTCTACTCCAATAGCTTCATGTCTCGCACCTCTCGCCTGTGGAACTCCTTCCCTTTTCCTGTTTTTGATCTAATCCAGCTATTCAAGTGTAATGTCAATCGACCTCATCCTTTCTATTCTACCCTCATCCTTTCTTCTATCTCCTATCTGATCTTGCACTAAATTTTCTGTAACTCCTTATGTCCTAGTGGCTTCCTGCCTTGCTACAGATGAAATGCTTAAATATATATATAATATATATATATATATATATAAATATATATACGGAGAGAGAGAGAGAGAGAGAGAGAGAGAGAGAGAGAGAGAGAGTGTGTGAAAGAGAGAGTGAGGTAAAGAGAGAGTGAGGTAAAGAGAGACGGTGATTCCTCACTCTGGGCCCCTCTATTGTGACCTTGTGTCAAATTAAGCTAATCATAGTAAATATTTGCACACACAAATAGTTACTAACATAAAATACCTAGTAAATTAGTCACAAGTAATTAAATGTGAGTTCGATCTTCCCGGGGTATATTACTGTTGTGGTATCATGGCAAGATAATATATATATATATATATATATATATATATATATATATATATATATATATCAAGTATGTGGTGCAGTTCAATTTACATTACATGAATCATTCATACAAAAACATATATCATTAACTTCTATATCTGTTTTTGTATGAATATATATATATATATATATATATATATATATATATATATATATATATATATATATATATATATGTACTTTCTTTTCACACGTTTTTTTTAAATAACACGGTCCAACAAAAAGAATCGATTATTTTTTTTGCACTATTTTTTTTTTTACTTTAACACAATTTAAACATCTGTCCTTATGTGAGCATCGAATTTATTGCAAGTGGAAAGTAAAAGATTAAATAACATCAATCAATTATAATTTACTAAATGCCGAAACTCTACGTAACATGATGAAGTAACAATTTAGCGAAGTAAAATAGAATCTAATTTATTTTTTCGTATAGTAATCCCTCACTCTCGGGTTTGGGCGGGACTCATGCACTGGACATACATAGAATTTTAGAGAATATTTGAGATTCCACGTTAGTTTATAGTAGTGATGGTGAAGAAGTGGTTCCACTATCTGCAAATACGATTCTAGGAGGCCTTCAAATAGCCAATAATCTTGGTATTTATTATAAATTATAACAATGTTGAGCGAGCTGTACAATTCCAACATTATTTGAAAATGATTATGGCACTTTATGAAGAATCATAGACAGAACAAAATCAAAATTGCAGCGTCTGATAATTGAATTCGTATTAAAAAAAAATACAAGATGCTAATTTTATTCAAGATACACATGAACATATATAGCCATTAAATATTTCCAGTGACGAGAGAGTGGGCAGGTTTACTATAGTGACACTGAATGACTATGATATATATATATATATATATATATATATATATATATATATATATATATATATATATATATATATATATATATGTCATTCGCAGACAGTACTGTTTCGCAGCTCTTCAGTGCAACTAGACATCCGAACGCCTGAAGCCTGGATTAAAACCCAACCGATTTGGAGTCTCTACCACTGAGCTATCTTCACTCGACTGAATGAGTCAGCCAAATCTAGCGTATTGTTTTTACAAATGTAAACAAATGCCCAACAACCGGAGTGCTCCATTCATTTTACTGAAGAGCTTCGCATTAACGCAGGCGGTTGTAGTTTTTAGAATTAGCTTGTCATTCAAAAGTGCTCAATTAAAAATATATTTTCAAGAGCCAAATTATGTATGCATATATATATGCATATATATATATATATATATATATATATATATATATATATATATATATATATATATATATATATATATATTAATTTATTTGTATATGAAAATTAACATTTTTTGTTAAATATATTTGGATGGAAGCTATCTCCAATTTTCATATGTGCATTGTATATTTCTTACCCGGTTTTATTTTGCCCGGTAGTACCCCAGGTGTAAATAGAGAATTGAGTGTATATAAATAAAAAAAAATATTAATTCAAGTACCAGATTATAGCCCTAGAGCTGTGGAACGTGAATAGTCTAAAGGGTTCAGTTTGAAATTACATGTATGTTTCCCAGATCGATATACCCTTGAAGGCCGGAGGGCACAACAACCGAAACGGTGTTATAAAAACAACAAAGATGAGGATAATAACCAGAACGTAATAGTTTAAATAATGATAACTCCTCATTCCAGAAATTCAAAGATTACTTGCTACGGTTTATAGCGAAGTTTAGATGTGGCACAAGGCAGGAATTATGTGACACTTAGTGAGGATCGAGCTCACTAAGTAGAAACTGATATGGCGAGACAAGCTTGTTAACCATTACACCACGTTGAAGTGCTTTACTTGCTTATTATTCTAAACTGAATTTTGACTCAAACATCATCTTATGATGACGTATTCTCTCGCGGTGGCCGACCCCGCAGTCACGCGGCTAATTTACATAACCCGGTCTTTGTCATTAAAATAAAAACTCACCGTCGAATGTAGCCCACTGTCTCAGCGTCGGCAGCAGGGAGGGCGTGGTGCGTGGTACTCGTCCCTCTTATTGTTATTACAAACGATTTTGCTGTCGGCGATTGAAATGAAATCATTTCTTAATTGTGCTTTTGGCTTCGTGTCAGATATCAGATCGGATTGTCAAGGAATCACAGAGTTCTCGTCAATTGGAAACACAGGGAAATTTCCTGCTCTGTCAGATTTGAAATAAATCCAGCCACAAGCCACACTATCGACACCCCTACCCCCACCCTTAAATGATTGATGTGGAATATCCGTCAAACGATGTAAAATGGAATATATGAAAATCACTTGATGTTGATTTTTTTCTTATTTAGCTTACGGCCACAGCGCGTTGAAACACCGGGTCCCGTACGATCACCGAAATTAAGCAACGTCGAGCCTGGTCAAGTACCGAGATGGGTGACTGCTTGGGAATATCACGTGTTGTAAGCTTTTAAACAGTTGGATTTTTGTATCGTTCCAAAACGTATCTGACTCATTTTGCCACGATTTTCTGTAGAATCATCATATCAGACGAAACAACGTCCTGAGTATGACGATAAACTACATCCGGTAGCAAGCACTCTGATCGGGAGATTTTGAGGAACGTGGAACAACCTCTTCATTGTTGTTGTTCTTAGGTCGAACCTGACGTGGGGTGGTAGCACCTATTAGGGAACCCAACTATGGGTAAATAGTTAACCACCAAATTGGTGTTAACACACTATGAAAATAAATAGATATTTATAGTAAAAATACCAACAATACATGATTGAAATAAAAATTACCAGCAATGCATTTAACTCTCGATCAAAAAACCCTCTTTACAAAAATACGTCAATAAAATCTGATCTACAAATTGATTTCTTCTAAAGAATACATATTCTATTCATACGAACCTATCATAAAAGATTTGTCGGCATTAAATAACACATTGAGTTCGATATGCCGTAAAACAAGATGAACCAAACTCTGATCTACAAATTGATTTCTTCTAAAGAATACATATTCTATTCATAAGAACCTATCCAAAAGATTTGTCGGCATTAAATAACCCATTGAGGTTGATATGCTATAAAACAAACCAAACCAAACCAAACCAGAACGAATATATATATACACACATACTGGCAAAAACAAATAGACTACTAACAAGCACGTACCCGGACCCTACACAACATAGGAAGTGTGTGTATGTGTATGTATGTATATATGTATATCTATGTGTGTATATGTGTCTGTCTGTATGTATGCATGTATGTATGTATGGATAAATGTATGTGTGTGGGGGTGCATATATATCTTACTTATTATAAAACGCAGGTTGTGTGTGTGTGTGTGTCTGTAACGTTTATATGTTGGATCGAATTTCCTACATTTTTTAGCTGATTTCAACAAAACTTCACAGGACTACATAAAATTATCTTGTGTTGGTTCTAACGGGGCCGAAAATGGGAAAAATACAGTTGTTTTTTTAATAAAATCAATTTGAAAACACGATTAAGACACATCGTGAGAATGAAAGGGGAGAACTCACCCACGAAAATGTAAACAAAAGAGCATAGCATGATTGAAAAAGACGCCGAACTTGACGAAAACAAAATTTTATCGTCTAATGTTCATATTATTATTAAAAAGGAAAGATCAAAGTATTTTGGGGTATTTTTTTTACATTTTTTTAATCGTTCCTAGCACGTCTGAAATTTTCGTTAAAAATATTGTTTTTTTTTTGGTCAAAAAAAGGGCAGATAATCATTTTCAATCATTTTTTCGATTTGATAAAAAAGATTAAAATCTTACTTTGATATTCTTTTAAAAGTCAATTATCATTTTTCAAAACTGATTTTAATAAAAACAGATATTATATTGTTTATTTAAAATATTTTGAACCAAGCTTAACTTAGCTTCTGCGCCGAAAAAATGTAATTTGAAAATAAAACAAAGCAGGTCATAACCTTTCGCGTCGCTTGACGATTGACGAAAGGCACATTCATGACGTTTAGATAACTTACGGAGGAGAATTCTTTCTACGGATGGAAGGAAGTGAAATTATTTAAGTGAACAAATTATTTACCTTGTTACTTTTAAGGAAAACTTTCAGCGCTCTAATTTTTTTTTTTTTTTTTTTTTGTACTTAGCTTTCATTTTTACGTTTACGATGCTTTATGGAAAATATAAAGAAATTAAAAAAATAAGACTGTTAATAATGAGATTAAATTTCATAAGAAAAAGTTATCTAATTAATTTAGGTACCTTTCTTATGAAATTTTATCAGAAGAAGTGTACATAAAATACTATAATTTTATGTACATTTATTACATTTTACTGTGTTATTTGTATTTCCATTCATTTTATTATTAATTTTGATATTTCATTTATGGAAAAATGTCATAACTGAGATTAATATAAAAATAAGATCATATAAATTAAAGTTTAGCAGTAGTTAAATTTCATAAGATGATACTGTTACTTGTAGGTACCCTTCTCAGTTGAAATTGAAAACTCAAATTAACTTCTCCATACATGTTTCGCAAAAGTAAAGGGCTTAACAGCGGAGAACAATGCTGAACTCAAATAATGCAACTAAATTGTATTCTGGTTGGTCTTCCATACTTGATAATTACTGTCCGACTATAAACACAAAAATTACATTTCTTAATTACCATGGCTAATCTGATTGGTCCAAATTATACAATTTTCAAAGCACTAGACAATGACAATCTCACACGGACATTTTGAAAGGTTGGTGTTGCTTTTAACTAATGTTAAAATATTTTTTAAAATTCAATTTAAACATTTTTAAAAATCTTTTTAAAATTAAAGAAATAAGAAATAATTGTATTAAAAATTCAATTTTCATTGAAAAAATTTTTTTGCTTTCAGAAAATATTGTCCATATTCATAAAAACAAATTAAAACAAATAAAAGCATTTGAAACTAAATAATATATTTGTTTTATTGAGTTTTGTATGTTACAATTCACAGCTGATTTTCAGGTACGTTGGCCAAAAAAAAAACCCAAAAAAAAACATGATTTGTATTCTTCAAAGCCTTGTGCTTTTAACTATTGTAATCACTAAAACCGATGTTCTCGAATTTCTAGAGTTTTTCATAAAATTAGTTATGTGGGTGTTAAGAAATATAAAAAAATATTTCTGCCATGACTTTAATAAAAAAATATTTATAATAATTTCGATCATCTGTGAATAGTTTCTGAAAGTTTCATTAACATCTGACAATTATTTTTTTTTTTGCAAGATTTTCCAAATTAATGTGTGCAAATACAAAAAAAAAATGCGCTAAAATTATCTATGTTATTTACTACCCCTTGTTGCGACAAAGAGAAACAAGGTTTTTTAAATCAAAATTTAGAATATTCTAAAAAGATGGAAAAATTTTTTAAAAAATAATTAAAAAAATTTAGTCTATCCTCTTCATAAAAAAATAAGCATTTTGACGATAAAATTTTGTTTTCATAAACTTTGGCGTCTTTTTCATCAGACTATGCTCTATGTTTTAGCGATTCCGTGGAGTGACTTAGGTTAAAAGACCCAGGTTGTTTATGTGTGTGTGTGTGTGTGTGTGTGTGTGTGTGTGTGTGTGTGTGTGTGTGTGTGTGTGCGTGCGTGTGCGTTCCTTTATATATGGGATCGGATTTCTTACATTTTTCAGCCGATAAAACAAACATCCACTTTTTTTTTTCGGCAGGTAGTATTTCTAATTGTCTTGAACACTTTTTTCTTTATTTACATTCAGAATGCTTTAAAAATTCCATTTACAAGACAATTGTTTATAATAAAATTCTATTCACCAATCGATAGACTCATAACGATTGTAAACAATGTTTTTGTTTGAATTTGGGTTTGACCAATTCGTAAAAAAAAAAAAAAAAAAAAATAATTAAGACATGCGTGTCCGTCAACCTTAAACAATAATCTTTGTCAATTTTATTTTTCAGTCTTTATGATGGTCGATACTTGATCTATCTCTTACTGTTACATCCCCGGGCAACGCCGGGCTCTACTGCTAGTGTATGTATATGTGTATACTAATTCAAAATAATAAGACTGTATATATGCATGAAGTGGGAATATACATACACATACTAGCAAAAACGCAAGGACAATACACAAAAATGGAAATAGATCTAAGAACATACAAGGGTCATTAAAAGTCAAGAAAACAGATATCTTTCTCGAACCAATCTTAATTATTTTATTGCCCTTTAAGAAGAAGAACTTTCTTATCACCAGCCCATGAAAGACATTTGTGTCACTAATACCTCACAAAAAAGAAACTGTTTAATATCGAAAACTATAATGAAAATTAATTTCTTTTAATATGTGAAAATATCCATTTTTTGCCTAAAGAAGATCGGGAGACCTGAAACTCGCGTACCAAAATTATGTAAAATAAAATATAATTTATATGTTTTTAAAAATCCACATTACAACCAAAACTTTTTGTTTGTATATATATATATATATATATATATATATACGTGTGTGTGTGTGTGTGAGTGTGTGAAAAATATATAGAAAATAGGAAAGAACTCGTTAGGTAAATAATCCAAAGTTCTTTAGTATTTTTGTTATTATTTTTTTTAAAATAGTGCTCGATACAAAAGTAGAGCATAAATATAATTATTTATTTAAAAATATGATACAAACCCACTACATAAGAGTTCTCATGTTTCAAAACAAGAGGAGAAAACTAGTTTTCGACTCTTGTTTTGAAACATGAGAACTCCTAAAATCTTCGAATTTAATTTTGTAATTAAATTAAAGACATTAGTTCCATTTCATCCTCAAGCGAATCGATTGAGGATGAAATGGAACTAATGACTTTAATTTAATTACAAAATTAAATTCGGGTGTTTTAGCTTCCATTTTTGAAACATGGTTAGAACTGTGTAGCGAAAAAAACATATTTTAAATCAATTAATTTATAATATATATATATATATATATATATATATATTTATATACTCATGTGTGTGTGTGTGTGTGCGTGCATATAGTCGGGATCTTTCTCTACATTTTATTCCTTCTTTTCCTCTGGTGGCAGTGGCGACGATGGCAGTGAAGTGGCAGATATATATATATGTGTGTGTGTGTGTGTGCGTGTGTATTTATATATATATATATGTATGTATATATATATGGGTGTATGTGTATGCATACGTGTGTGTGCGTGTGTGCGAATGTATACATATATATATATATGTATATATATATTATATCCATTCACATACACACACATATATATATTTGTGCTTTTGCCTATATATTTATATATATATACGTGTGTGAATATACAAGTGTGTGAGATCGAATGTATATAATTATATATATGTGTGTGTATGAATATCTGTATATATATATATATGATATATGAATGGGTGCAATATATATAAGTGTGTGTATGTATTTGTGTAAAAATGTTCCTGTG